CACGGTCTCCTACAATGTCATTTTTATTTCCGAACATAATTTATTGAACGCGTTATTTAACGTTTTGATCTTATTGGACACTATATTTACCATCATATTTGCCGTTTTATTGATCACTGTGAGAGGAAATGATATATAAATATTAGAAAAATTATTGATACAGTGGAAAAATCTTGTCGCTGACGGGTTTCGCTTAGCAAGTTAATTTTTAATTTCAGCGTCCCCTTCCATTTCGTGCGGATGTGCAATTACATCAATGTAAATATCACTTCAGTCCGATGAAGTTCTAAACGACGAAACACGTTATACAAAAATATTTTTCCATTTTGTCATTAATTATCCTAACAGTGGACACGATATTTACTGTTTTTAATATTATCTATACCGTTTTACTGAAGATTATTTTTATCGTTTTACTAAATACTGTTTTATTTTTTTTCTGAAAACTAAGTTTACTAATTTATTGAACACTATTTTTACCGTTTGCTGTTCACTATCTTCTGTTGTTTTCGATGCAACTTCAATGCACAAAATGCAGACCAAATGTTAAAAATTTTCTAAAAAATCTATGGTATAAAAATTGCAAAATTCGATATTCATTTTTTCCATACATAAGTATTTAATCAAATGGCACAGAAAATCCCAAAAACACTTCGTGGGATGGTGGGTTTAGCGGAATAGCTTTAATGTAGGTAACTCCATGAGATCGCTAAAAAAAAAGGAGTATAGTATGATGAAAAAGACGCCAAACTTGACGAAAACAAAATTTTATCGTCTAAATATTTATGTTATTAGGAAGAAGATAGACCAAAGTTTTTTTTAATTATTTTTTAAAATTTTTTCTTCTTTTTAGAATATTCTAAATTTTCATTAAAAAAAACTTGATTCTCTTTGTATCACCTGAAACATATACAATTTTTAGCCCTTTTTTTTTGTATGACACACATTAATTTGGAAAATATTGCAAAAATAAAAATAATTGTCGGATGTTAATGAAACATACAAAACTCAATAAACCAAAAATATTATTTAATTTCAAATGCTTTTATTTGCCTTTAGTTGTTATTATGAATATGGACAATATTTTCTGAAAGCAAAAAAAATTTTCGATGAAAAATGGATTTTTAATACAATTATTTGTTATTTCTTTAATTATAATAGATTTTTACATTTAAGTTGTTAAAATATTATAAAATTAGTTAAAAGCCGCGTCCGCTTTCGTAAGTGTCCTTATGAGATAGATCTTTTTTAGCGCGTTGTAAATTGTATCGTTTTCACGAATCAGAAGATCCGCAGTAATTCAGAAATGCAATTTTGTGTTTATAATCGGGCTCTAATTATAAAGTACGGAAGACCAACCAGAATACAATTAAGTTGCGTTATTTGAGTTAAGCATTGTTCTCCGCTGCTAAGGCCTTTACTTTTGCGAAACACGTGTGGAGAAGTTAATTTGACTTTTCAATTTCAACTGAGAAGGGTACCTACAAGTGCCAGTATCATCTTATGAAATTTATATGATCTTATTTTTATACTAATCTCAGTTATGACATTTTTCCATGAATGAAATATCAGACTTAATAATAAAATTAATGGAAATACAAATAACACAGTAAAATGTAATAAATGTACATCAAATTATAGTATTTTATGTACACTTCTGACATATTTCATAAGAAAGGTATCTATAAATTAATTAGATACCTGTCTTATGAAATTTAATCTCACTCTTAATAGTCTTATTTTAATTTCTTTATATTTTCCATAAAGCATCGTAAACGTAAAGGTGAAAGCTAAGTACAAAAAAAATTAGAGCGCTGAAAGTTTCCCTTAAAAATAACGAGCTAAATAATTTGTTCACTTAAATCTAAATAACTTCACTTCTCCCCTTCAGTAGAAGGAATTATCTTCACGTAAGCTATCAAAACGTCATGAAAATGTCTTTCGTCACCTGTCAAAGTGATGCGAAAGGTTATGACTTGTTTTATTTTATTTTTAAACTACATCTTTTCGGCGCAGAAGCTAAGTTAAGCTTGGTTCGAAATATTTTAAATAAAAATAATTTCTGATTTTCTTAAAATAAGTTTTGATAAGAATAAGAATTTCAAACTGAGATTTTCATCTTTTTTTTTTTTTTGTTATAAAAGGGAAAAAAATAGTTGCTATGACTGATTATCTGTCAATTTTGATGACTCGAAAAAAAAACAAGATATTTAACGAAAATTTCGGACGTGCTAGGAACGATTAAAAAATGTAAAAAAAAATACCCCAAAATAATTGAAAATTGATAAAATTTTGTTTTCAAGTTTGGCGTCTTTTTCATCATGCTATGCTCTTTTTTAGCGATCTCATAGAGGTACCTACTTTAATGTTAATAGACAATGGTAGGTCGAAAACCTCCCTACGTATACCGACTTCAAATACATTCGACAAAAGATACAGTTGTGACTATTAATTCAGTTTTTCCTTCCACCAGAATTATCTGATTACTGTATATATTAATAATTAGTGAAATTTTTTAGTTATTTGTTAAATAACTCCTAATTTTGATATGAATTTTATATAAAGTTAATAATAATAATAATAATAATAATAATAATAATAATAAACAACTTTACTGATGAGAATAACTAACGTAAATTAATATCTTAAATACATTTTATTCATATTTTGCTTCTGTTAGTCGACTAACTTGAACTTTCATTTTATTCTCTACTTCAGAAGAAGGACGCTACCCAAATATGCTGAGTTTTTCAGAATCCAATTCTTTACTTATTAACAATATTTTTGCGATACGTTATCTTTTATTTTATTAAAGTATTTTGTTTTCATTATTTGCACTTTCGCATTTTATTAGAATTTGCTAGAACTTTCTATCATACCTAATATGCCACAGAAGGCTATCGAACTAGGCTTGAAGCCTTTGCCCAGCAAGTTCGATCCTCATTAGGGACCTTATTAATGTAAACTTGTACCAGCATACAGCTTAGAAAATGTGTATATTTCTTGCATAATACCCATAAAAAATGATAAACTACACAGATTAAACACACGAATTCATTCACTAGCTCAGTCACTAAATCTACTTTCAAAATCTACCACGATTCTAACTGTAGAAATCATAACATAATTTACCTCCTAGAATGCACACTATGCCAGAAACAATATGTAGGAAAATCTGAATGGCCCTTTCACTACAGAATTAATAATTATCGCAATCGAATTAAGTCGACTCCCCATGAAAAATTATTACCCGTAGAACAACATTTCCGCCTAGAAAAACACGATTTCAAAACCCATGCCAAATTCACTATAATTGAGAGAATAGAAAAGTTCAGAGCAGATAACATTAGAAAGATTTTAGAGTTCCATGAAAATAAGTGGAAACAACGTTTAAAAACACACTATCCAGCCGGACTAAACCACAAATTTAACAATATAGATAGTATTAATATATAAACTTACAAATCAACACCTACCTACATTTCTCACCCACACAAGACAGACATGCTTACGGAGGTGTTGAGGCCTCACACTTATACACACACCCACACGAACATACACACTTACACACATCATACTCACTCACTCCCTAATGAGCCAAATGATAACACACACCCACAGCAATATACACGCTTACACATATCATACTTACACACTCCCTAAGAACCAAATAACACACACACACTTAACAGAGACACATCCCCTCTCCAGGGACCAATAAAACTGTCAAACTGACCAGGGAAATTCAGAGCAGCATGGATCCATCCAGCTCTTATCTCAAATAACAACTTAAAAGAGACTGTTTGACCAACACAAGGAATGTTAAAGAATTCATGTTAAAAAGATAAAAAAACATTAAAAAAAAAACAAATGAAAACTACAGACAAAAGTTCATTTTCTCCATCAAGACATTCATTTCTGTAGTTCACTGCTACCAGCAAGCAGAAATATTTCTTCTCCTGATGATGGCCAAGTTGGCCGAAACTAGTTGAGGAATCTAAATTAAATAATAATAATAAAAACGAAAGAATATTAATCTACAACCCAGTGTGTCTGAAGATTTTAATTTTTTAATATTTTTTATTGTTCAAAAAAAAAAAAAAAATATATATATATATATATATATATATATATATATATATATGTATGTATGTATGTATGTATGTATGTATGTATGTATGTATATATATACTAACTGTCAGATTATGGATTACGTAAAGGACTAGTTAATAATAAGGACATTATTATAATGGAATTGGCGAGTCGAGTTCTAATTCCAGCCGAGTCGATTTAAAATGGAATAAATTATTTTCTTCTCCTTCCATCTATAGGTTAAATAGCAGTATAGAATGGACTCTTCTGTGTGCTGCATCTCTTCAGGACATAACCGATCGTGGCTCTTCACAACTTTCTCGCGTAGCCCTCCCCAAAATATCATACCAATTCACAGATATTAAAGAGATGTGCAGTGCAATGATCGTGTACATCCTGAAAGAACATTGTATTTTAAAGAGAAAAGGCCTAATAATAGACTATATCCGTATATTTTCCTCGGTTACCAAATTTACTTAATGGTTATATTTCTTTTCCATATAATAATATTTTTTGTATCATTGCAGGCCTGCAGCTGTATACGTAAAAGAAAGATGGTACTGGTTTCACAATTCTCTAAAGATCTTAAGCTTCTCTGTTTGTTTATCCTGATAGTATGCGCCAGTTACACAAACGGACAGTTCAAATGGATGCGGTATGACAACTTCGATAAAATTCAAGATCACATTACATCAATAACAGGTAAAAACTGCCGCGAAAAATCGGCGGATCAACTGCAGTTACCAAAAGAGGTTGTCAGTCAAATTCCCCGCTACAATGAACTGTTAAGTAAGATCTTTTACAAAAACCGAACAAGGTTGCTTCATTTGCACAACATGGCGCTGAACCGAGCTTTTTTCTATAGTTATATGCTCCAGAAATACAACGAATCTCAAGCCGATTTTAACATGCTTCCCGGTTGGATGTACATGTATATGTCTGCCGTAGCAGATGTCAACGCCAACCCGAAAATGTTAAATGGAAGCAGTCTTTACTTTGACACTAACTGCAGCTATCCCAACTGGTTAGAGACTTTACCATTCAACCACACCATTCCACTTTTTGGGCCAAGCGCATGGCGATGGGATGACTATCGGGATTCAGAGAACTATCTTCGCGAAATGACTTTACGCACGGTCATGATCAAAGATGTTGGTGCTGGGACTGAAAATTATACAGATCCCAAATACAAGATTAATCCTTGGTTTAAACTCTACCCACTACCTGACTTTTCCGCTGCAAAAGATTCCATCACAAAGTTTACGTATACGGTGGGAATCCGTTATTCAAACAAAACCGGTCAGTTTGCAAGTGAAGAGTACATAACAAATACTTTCTTTGGTCCTGGTCAGCCTGGACAGACAGCAGATGACATCGGACTTCCCGTTCTCTTTACACCGCCGTATATGGACTGTGGTAAATCAAACCAATGGATAATGTCGACTGTTTCTCCTGTAATTGATTACATGTACAGATATAGCAATTATACGCATTTACGCAGGCCAAGGTAGAGTGCTGTTTTATGTGTGAATCAGTTTCTATTTCCTTACTCTAATATAAAATGATTTAAAGTATATAACACACCCACGTCACATCCGCAGGGGATATTTACTATGATTAACAACAGATCCCTCAAAAACCCGCGTATAGTATTGAACTATATATATATATATATATATATATATATATATATATATATATATATATATATATATGTATGTATGTATGTATGTATGTATGTATATATATATATTTAAGGTATGCTATATTTATGAGATAAAGTGCTCAATATCAGAGATAGAGCGTATGTAATTATAAAAGTGATCATTGAAGTCAACACTCAGAGGTGGCAGACTGTTTCATGCTAAACGCAATCGTCAGTGGCCTGACGATTGCCTTTATATATTTGGTTTACTTCAGACTGAAATCATATTGATTGGAATAGAGGTTGCATGTGTTTTTTTTCTGTAAAATCGATCACCTCAGTCATTTTTTACAAATCTGCAGACAAAAGCTAACTTTTCCGTTTTAAAAATCTTGCAAAAATAAAATATTTCTGAAACGTTATTTGAGAAAAATTAGCAAATTTAAATTTAAGTTAATCTGATTTGAAACAAATATTACTTACTTATATCATAAAATGTTGTATACAAGCATTTCCTAAACGCGGTATCTTAGTTTCCTGACGTGTTAATCGGTTTATATTCCCTAAAAATTATCTCATCATCTTAAATGGTCCCTACATCGGTTCCACTGAGAGAACATTCAAGAAGAGAAAAAACAACCACAACCTTTCATTCTCCAACAGAAAATACTCAAACAGCACCACACTGTCTACATACATATGGCATCTAAAAGACAGAAATATTACACCAAGAATAAGTTGGAAAATATTGAAAAAAGCACCTGCCTACAACAACATTACAAAGAAAGATAGCAATAATTTCTCATACCCAACAAAAGAATTTACTAAACATAAAATCAGAAATAATTTCCAAATGCAGGGATGAAAATAAATACCTATTATCAGAATTTATGTCAAACAGATAAAAAAAATCCCCAACAAACACTACTACATAAATCATCATTGACCCTATAAACATGAAAAGAGAAACCACTAACACAATAACACCATCAATTATTTTCTAGTTTAGATTACCATCATAATAATTACAATTATTGATATTATCATTCCACCACCATTACTACGATAACTTCTAACACTTCTCAATAACTATTTGCTGCTACAATTTTTATTATCATCACACGCTCCCCTCACCATTACTACCTCATCACAATTGCCATTGCCGTATTAGTCCACAATTACCATTACCGTATCAGTCCACAATTATACTTAATTCTCCCTCCCCCAGAAAAATTAATACCATCGCATAAATGCTAATAAGTATTACAAATTGTAATTTCTGCCATTTGCATATGCGCAATCGCCAAAGACAAGCAAATAACCGGCTTTAAAATAATTACAAAACAGCCTTAAAAAATTAGAAATAATTGCAGTTTTTACCTATCATGGTCTTACACAGACCCAATCATACGTATATGCGAGCGTGTGAGTAAATATTATTCAGCGAACAAAAATAGAAAAACGGTCTGCGCGTTGACATAGCAACAGGCAAGGAAATATTTGCCACACAGTCCAACATTGAATACAGCGACCAAATGCGTATGAGGATATATGCCCAATCCCACACTGTCCACATATGTTTATGTTTGTGTGAGCTCCGGTGAATGAGCGTGCGTGTGTGTGTGTGTGTCTGCGTACGTCGATGAGTGTACGTGCGTGTATGTATGTTTACGTAAGTATAAGTGGCGTCCAGACGACAATTTTTCCTCCCACTTCCATAAAAACACCGATATACGCAACCATATATAAATCTAAAATTTAAAAATTAATAAGTTTGTCTAACGATCGCAAATAGCGTGAAACCCTGGGTCACAAACTCACATCAATCCAACTAAATATGTTAGCTTTATCACTGATATTGAGCGCTTTCCAATAAGTACCGCGCATATATAATATATATATATATATATATATATATATACACACATATTTCACATATATATTGTCATCCACAGACAGATTGTTTCGTTGTATTACAGCCCATTAGTGTGGTTAGACATCCGATTGCCTCAAGCCAGGATCGAAACCTGACTGATTTGGCATCATTCGGAGATTTTTCCCTTAAGCTATTATCTCCCGGCAGAGAGGAAGTTGAATTTTTACGTACTAATTTTTAAATAAACACGCCAGTGACTCAGAGTGATCGATTCATAGAAGAGCTTCTGCATTATCAGCAGTAGCCGTCACTATTTACAAATTCGCGCTTTCCTTCTAAAGTGTTCGATCGAATTTTATTTTTTCGAGGGCGTATATATTCTCACCGAGAAAACAGATTATTTCGCTGTATCACAGCTCATCAGTGTGACTAGACAACCGATTGTCTATATATATATATATATATATATATATATATATAATAAACATATTCAAGCATAAAACAGACTGTCCCCGCTTAGTGTTGACCTCAGTGTTCACTTTTATATTACATATGACTAAATCTGATATTGAGCACTTTTACCTATAAATATACCATACTTTAAAACTATATTTTTATCATATATATGTATAGGTGGGTGTGCTAAAAAGTCCTGGGAACCACAAGCAGCCCTTCTCCAAATGATTGATGTTTGCTCATTTTCTCAGATTAGGTGAAGTGGGTTGTAATTTTATTTATTTATTTTTTATTTTTTCCTATTTATTTTTATTTTCTCTTTTTTTTTTCAAAATATTGTTCCCTCAAATCGTGACACACATTCAAACGATCTTTATTTTTTTATTTTTGTTTTACCTCATTTTTTTTTTTCTGCGAATAAAGCAATGGCGAATTTTGCACAAAAGTGTTTAATTTTCAATCTGCTGTTAACTTTCACTGGCAAAAGTTCCAAGACAAATCTTCAGATAATCCATTAATGACGACTTCATTAGTTTTGTGACAAACCTTTTGTTATTTGGGCTTGACCAAGACATTTCACTAAGGTTGTAAACGAATACCACTCGTCACTTTTCGGAGCTTTACAATAGTTTCAGGAAAATCTCCCTAAAAAAAAAGCAAAAAAAAAAATAATAAATAAACTAAAAAAAATCATCAAGCACATTCTGTTCCACGCCAAATAAAAGATAATCCAGAATAGTGTCGATTCGTCACATCTAACAGCGCAATCTACAACTAATTCCAGTTTGAGCACCACATTTGAATTACTGTTTTCCGGTTTTCTTTGGATATTCGTTTGTAAATGAAGGGTGCACCAAAAATAGCTCCCATATATACCTCTCAGAAATACATATCACATAATCGTATGACATTAGTGACAATGGTGTCTTCATCTAGCTAATATCTTACCATTATGTAGGAGGTATTTCTTGGTGGTATATATGGGAGATATTTCTGCCGTACCCTATATATATGTGTGTGTGTGTGTGTGTGTGTGTGTGTGTGTGTGTGTGTGTGTGTGTGTGTGTGTGAAAAACGAATATTATCCCCATTATCCCCTATATTGATAATGGCCATAAATGCAGTTGAAATGCCTAGATCGCAAGCATTTAAACAATATTTACGTTCATTGAATACAGGCATGTGTTTTCTTGTAAGCAAGAAACTTTAAGTAGAAAATAAAAATCAAATTTCCTTTGTTTACAGTAATTAATCATACATATATTCATCAAGTGTTGTTGCCTAAATATATACATTTGTGCTTTTTTTTTTTTTAACAGAATAGTTGCTCTTTCGGTCATGGATATTTATTTTAAACGAATTGATTTCAATTCTTGTCCAGTTAGCATAGGCAACCCGGGGCCTAGTTATCTGTCCGGTATATCTCGTTGCAAAACACGTACAACACAGGTAAGCATTTATTTTCTAAATATCTTCTTCTGTGTACTTTGTCCTTTCAGAACGTTGGTGATCATAGCTCTTCGCAATTTCCTAGTATTATAGCTCTTATTCAAGATTGTTTCTTTGTGTTATAATCCATGTTCTGATTGTTATGTATATTATGCGCTGCTTGCCTTCAATATGTCCTGTAAGTGTCAAATTTTCTAAGCCCTCGTTCCTCATTATATGCCCTAGAAACTTTAACTGTCTCTTTCTGATAGTACGTATAAGTGTCCTTTTTGTTTCCATTTTCTCTAAAACTTCTTCGAAAACTAACGTGTTCAGTCCATGATATTCTCAGCATCCTTCTGTACAACATTTCTCTTAATTCAGTCGTTCTCTTTATCTGTGAGGAAATTGCACAGCATTCACTACAATAGTGGAGTTTCATATTACGTAACATTTCAGCACTTTTTGCTTGTTTCCCACGAAACTTTCCTTTTTCTTAATACTTTGCTTAGCTTTGCTTTTCCAGCATCCTAAGAATTTTTTTGTTATGATTTAACTCTAACAAAACGGAAAAATGTTACGATGCTGGAAAAACTTAAAAAATTATTTCAATCTCTCTTGTCGGCCGTAATCGATGAAAGATGTTTGAAAGAAAGGTTGCTGCTAAAATATACATTAATATATATATATATATATATATATATTACTGAAACCTCTTGACGAGTGGGCCGAACAATTGCAAATGGCTTTGTTTACGTTAACTCTGGAGTTGAGGATCTTAATATAATATCAACTAAGTAACAAATTTTATATTTGTATTATTTTTAGCTAGCTAGATATATAGATATTCTCAAAAAGTAGCAGTCGTGATCAATACCATTTTAATTCGAATTATATATATATATATATATATATATATATATATATATATATATATATATATATATATATATTACAATGTCTTTTAGACAAGGCAACATGTCCATAAAAACTTTTTAAATATTAATTTTATCTTATATTTTAATAATTTATGCGATGGATGAGAAAATCTGGAACCATGTTCACAAACCAAAGCCCAGTGAAATTTAGGATTGGGCTTCACGTTCCTATAGTTTTCTCATTCTCTTTCACTCACGGTAATTCCTTGCATCTCAGTGGCATTATTACCTTGCTTATCGGTTTTTTAAAAATTCGTAAAGCTATTTCCAAATTGGTAACTTTCATTAGCAAAATCGCCTTTTCTTTTTATATATAATTATAAGCAATATATATTTAAGAAACTGAAAAACTAAAAATGAAAATTAAATTCACCAATTATTTACATTGCTTCTGCAACTAAAGCATTTTCGCGCAAAACTTTAGCTATTCTGAAACTGCTCCTGTAACAAGATCGAAGTTTATCGTAATGTCAAATGAGTTTTTTGTCTTTGAGCTAGAAACCAAATTTTAATAAATTCATCTAAATTATCGTTTTCTGTATTTTATTAATTTGTATACAGAAATTTGCGTTTCCTAACAAAATATCGCTTTTAATTTAATTAGGGCCTTAAATAGGATCGTTTGGGGTGACCGACTAATTTAGATTTTAATAAGTGGAGGTAAAGGGTTATGAATGGCAATTGTAATCAGAGTTAAAATATAAAAATAAATTATAGCCTTATCCTGTGCTATTTAAAAATATGAAAGAAGTCACAGATTTGGTTTCTGGGTTTGATCAAAAATCTGGATTGGTTTCTGAATCGGAAAAAAAAACACCGGAAAGAAAGGTTTTGAATAAAATCATTAATATTTTATTTTTCTTAATAATGAAAAAATATTTTTTAAATAAATACTGCTTTAAATTATACAATTAATATGAATTATTTTTTATATTTGAATGAATATAGGATTTTAGTGATATTTTGCCCGTGTAATCTAGATCAAATAATAATTAGTAATACTAATTAGTTTAAGCAATGTTGAAAATTTCCATGAAAAATTATTTTGTAAATAAGACATAATACTTTAATTCATTTAATTTATATTAAAATATTGTAAAAAATGAAATAACTAATATCTTAACGAAGTAAGTGTTATTAAAATCATAGTTTATTGCATTTTTATTTGTTATACATAGTTGTTTTTTTTTTAGTAATATTAAACAAATTTCATTCACAGAAAAAACTGCTACTTACTCATGAAACTTTGCTTACACTTACGACTATTTAGAGAAGTGTTAACTGTTCAGGCTTGGCTTTAATGTCACTGCATCAATCAATTCGAACATTATACAGTGAACATTAAACAGTGATAATTTCAGATATAATCTGGTCATTTTGTAAGAACAAGAACGAACGATCACTTAAAGACAATAAATTTCAAAATCAGATTGACGTTAGAATAGGTATTTTTGTACAATAATCAGAAAAGCACTTTTATGAAATAATTATCGCTAATATTCTATTGCAGTGCAAACACGTTCCTGGTTATGGCTTCAAGCGTGGAGGCTATATTTGTCCCTGCCGTGCTGGTTTCCACTGCCCAAAAGAAATCGATCCGCCATTTAAAGGGAAAATAATCGAACAGGCAACTGACGAAGAATATGCTAAAGGGTTTGAATGTATTCGAACAGACTGTAAGAACTTATACATTTTTTCCTTGCAATATCTTTAATGTAAATGATTGAAACTAAAATAGGTTACAGACCAATAAAGAAGAATTTGCTTTAAATGAAATCAAGTAAAATCTGATTCAAATAATGTAAGAGAAAATAGATGAAGAAATAATTAGACGTACAAAATTTAGTTAAAGTCATAAAAACGAACATAATTAAAACAAAAAATAGACAAAAAAAAAAGAAAACCGCAACAACGATAGTTGATATAGCGAAAATAGGAGCCAGAAAAATTGGAGAAAAACAAAAAAAGAGAAAAAGATTGTATGAGCTAACCAGTTATCGGTCCTGACTCGTTAAAACTCAATCGAAGAAAGTAAGATTAGTGTGCGCACCGACTAAAAAGGACACTTGAAAAAGAAAATACAGGTGTATCAATAATATATTGAGACGGGTATATTTTTTATAAAGAAATCACATTCAGTCTCAGGAAGAAATCTTTCTTTTTAAGGATGATTGTTTTGATTTAATAAAAATACTTCCAAGGTAATGATGAAATACGATCTACAAAAAACATGTTTTCCGGGAAGGATATTCTCTATTTTTTATAAGGTGTTCTGCCATTGCAAACTCGAATATGACGACGCACTTACGCAAATTAGCTAACTGACCCTTTCTACTAGACGCCCCCACGCCCACTATTTCAAAATATTTTTCTAATAGACTGAACTTCCTAAGTTCTAACGAGTGAGGAGCGATAAGCGATTAGTTCATTTCCGTTTTTTCTTTTTCTATTTTTACTTACACCTATTTTCGTATTACCAACTACCGAAGTTCTGGTATCCCCTTTTATCTTTCATTATACCCATTTTTATTACTTTAATTTTTTTTCATTGTTAGTTTAGCCATTACAGGACCAAACAGCCACTCAAGGTAAAGGGTAACTAAGTGATATTATAAGGGAGGAGGGAAGAAGAAATAAGTGTGTCTTATGAGGACAGGTAGGATATATATCGGTTGGCTATGGATTTAAAGAAAGCAACATTATAGTTGTCAGGGAGTTTGTTCTACAAAGTAACAGTTCTATGAAATAAGCTGTCTGAATGGAACGTACTTTTTAGCAAAAGAACACGAAGGGAATGGGGATAGTTTGCCACCGTTAACATAGCAAGGCGGGTCGTAACTGTGAAGGTCTGATATATGGTGTAACTAAGGAATGTAACTAGTTCGAACATCTGCCATAGCATAACACGATATGATAGTGAAAGGCTGGCAACGTTTCGTCTGTGACCTAAGAACTGCAGAGGAGAGAAGATTATATATAAATATTGTCGACGAGTATAAAACACTCAGCGTGTTTTTTGATTGTTTAATTTTTGTTTTTGTTTTTTTTTTTTGTGGGGGGGGTTGTTTTTTTAAATTTCTTGAGTCAGATTCGAAGTTAGCATTTTAGGCCAGAAAAAGAAATGAGAAACTTAAAATTTGGCATAAACCATGTAGCATTATTTTAGGCCGACCTCTGTTTATAGCCTGGTAAATAAATGTTCTCAAATACTGCAGTTTGTATATAAATTTAGCCATGGCGATAAACATTTATAGTATATATATATATATATATATATATATATATGTATGTGTGTGTGTGTGTGTGTGTGTGTGTGTGTGTGTGTGTGTGTGTGTGTATGTATGTATGTAAGTGCGCAGGTATGCAGAAAATAGAAAAGAACACGTTGGGTGCATAATCCAGGGTTCCTTAGTATTTTTGGTTTATTTTTAAGAAGAGAGTGCTCCATACAGAAGTAGGGCTTTATTATAATAATGTTACACACGCACAATGATCCAGAGAGAGCTCAATGTAATAAAAGAGCAAATAATAATTATTATGAGAACAGAGACTTTAAAAATCGGTTTTAACTCATCAGACCAAATATTTTCGCAAAAATAAATGGAGAAAAATTTTACCAGGTTCAAAACCATTTATCAAAAAAAAAAAATAGGGATATGTATTCAAAATGGGAGAAAGGAATGGATGGAGAATAAGAACAAGGATATGCATTTAAGGCTGGGAAGGGAAAGCGAAATGAGGAAGAAAGAAATATAAGACTGTTCAAAAAGATATATGAGAAGTTGTAGGGATGAGAAGAGAAATGTTGACCAATTTATACCGGATATGCACAGTGACGTAGAAAGTGTGTTATCAAATGAGGGTAGAGGAAAAAGACAAAGAGAACGAAAGAAAAAGGAAATGAAAAGAGAAAGAAAGGGAAACTAGTGTTACAGCTTAAAACCAGCAATCGTCTTTGTATAAAAATGAATAAATTATCTGTCTAATGCATGTAGTCATTCACGCCATTACACATTTGGATCTTTAAAAAATACAATAATACATGAGAAAAATGATATAAAGATTGTTTTTCAAAAACATATATTACTTTCAAAAAGATTTTTCTTTATAGGTTATAATAAATAAAAAAGATATTATTTAAAGTGAATAAAAATAAGAATAAAATATACATAAAAATAATGATAATGATACCAATAATAATAAAAGTAATAATAATATTATAAGGGTAAAATAAACAAAATTATCTAAGTTACGAAGAAAAATATGCAATTATATGCCTACATAAACCAAGCATGCGTCTATAGACATATAAACACACATACCGTACATATATGGCTCAAAATCAGAAAAATTATATATATCCTCAATTTCTAAGCGTAAATAGGACAATAATAACACCCGCAACAAAAATAGAATATATCTAATTACATAAACAACATAAAAAAATCCATAAATATATATTTAAACATATACACCCATTCATGTACAAGCACATACATACATATATACATATTTATCCATACAAATACATATGCATACTTATATATAAATGTACGCACCTAAATAGATACTATAAATCCATATATATACACACATACACATATATATAAATACATACACATATATATATATATATATATATATATATATATATATATATATATATATATATATATATACACACATAAAAAATATTCATAGGCATACACACATATGTATATATATACACACACACATCCATATACATACACATATGCATACATAACCATATACTTACACACATAGGAAGAAATATATATGCACACATATATATACATATACATACACATATGTATATATACATATATACACACATACACATCCATACATATATACGCATACAGCATACAAATATATATGTACACACACAAACATACATAAAAAAATAATACTATCTATACAAGAAAACTACTCTGTCAATCTTTAGAAAGATTCTCCAGACATTATTAAGTGGTTCTGGAATATCACTGATAAAAAAAAAAAAGTACTACATTTATTCAATTCGATATCATTGACTTCTACCCCTCTATTTCCGAAGACCTATTACTAAATAGTTTAAACTTTGCTAAGAATTATATTAGCATTATCGATGATGAACTTAAAATTATTGTAGCATCAAGACAATCTCTGCTTATATGTAATGACTCCACTTGGGTTAAACGGAATAATGAGAAATTCGATGTTCCTATGGGAGCATACAACTCTGCTAAGATAGCTGATTTAGTATGCGTATTAAACACCCTCAATAGGATTACTGACCCCAACCAGGTAGGTCTTTACAGGGATGATGGACTCATTGTTATTCCTAATAGAAATGGTCCTCTAAATTCCAAATTACAAAAAAAAAGATTATAAAAGCTTTCCAATTTCTGGGATTCAAGATTGATATATTCTCTAATCTTAAAATCGTTAACTTCCTACATGTTACCTTTAATCTTTCAAATGATACTTTCAAACCTTTCCAGAAAGAAAATCAAACCCCTATATACATCAACGTCTACTCGAACCAACTGAAATGAATAATTAACCAAATTTCCAACACTGTCAACACTAGGATCAACAGATTATCTTCAAGTAATAAAATCTTTAATGAAAATAAATTCACCTATAATCATGCCCTCAAAAATGTATGTTTACACAAGAATTAAATTATAAAGAAAATTTGAAAAATAATACATCTAATAAATCTAAAAACAGGAAAAGGAAGAACATATGCTTCAACCGCCCCCTTTCTGCAAGTTATCCAATATTAATATCGGCAAATTTTTCCTGAATTTAATAGATAAGCACTTTAATAATAACAATCCATCGAAGAAAATCTTCAATAGAAAAACCTTAAGAATTAGTCATTCGTGCGTTAACAATGTAGAAAATATTATCGATTCGCACAATAGTATACTTGTAAAAAAAATTCATAGTAATGAACTGCAAAGGAATAACCCTACTAGTAAATTTAGGGTTGAAGATGAATATCCTGTTGGAGGAATATGCATGTCAGAAAATGTGGTTTATGAAGCCAATATCTTCTCAAAGGAAAATATAAACCAGAAAAAGTTTTATATTGGGATTTCAGCGGGATGTTAGAAACAACGTCTTTATAACCACCGGCATTCCTTCAAAAACAAAGCTTTAAAACAACAAACAATCTATTCTAAGCATTATTGGGATCTCGTTGATAAAGGCTTCAACCCGCAATTGGAATGGAAAATCATCTCTCCTTGAACAGACATATTTCTTTCTCCCTCTCTTCGCTTTCTCTTCCCAGCCTTAAATGCATGCCCTTCTTGTTATCCTCCATGTATTCCGTTCTCTCATTTTGAATACATATCACTTTTTCTTTTTCTTTTTTTTACTTGATAAATGTTTTTGTGCCTGGAAAAATTTTTCTTCATTTATTTTAGTGAGAATGTTTTCTTTTGATGAGTTAAAACCGTAGTATCGGTTTTAATGAAATAAAATATAATATTATCATGATCTTTTAAAATCTCTGTTATCATAATATATATATATATATATATATATATATATATATATATATAACTAATGTACTGCTTATTAGTTTTCACGTGTGTGATCTTTAATATATCTTCCAAATTATAATTTTATGGTTTTGCTCTTTCACGGAGTCGGTTTTGTTTCCGTCACAGATTCGTAAGCCTCCTGGAATAGTCCTCCAGTGTCATAACACATACATTATCACATTATGCCGACAGTGCAAGAGAGATAGATCTAGTACCATGTACAAGTGCCGGCAAGGTTAAATTATTTCCTTCAGTTGTCCCACCCACATGTATAATGTTTATTTGTTAAAGCCCACTTTTTCGTTTTCATTTCTAGTGCGAGATTCGAAGTTAGGATATTATGTCTGAAGAAGAAAAATTTTCTCTACCATACGATTATTTTGTTCCAGAAATAAAACAAAAAAAATCCTCGCTTATTTTATAAGTTGAAAAAATTCACATCGGCATAGCCATTCCAGACGGCACTTGTATTTCGTACACAAAAGTACAGTAAAAATTTTCAGACACAAAATATACGAATACATCTTACACATTATAGAGAGATATTATATCGTATATGGAAAGAATCATTATATAATACTAATTGTACTTTTTCCTCTACATTTTCCAGTACAAACGGTGCTTCCCTCCAACAAGAAATTAGAAGGATTGAATGATGATATTATCCAAGGTGTCCTCAGCATTGCTACATGGGACAGAACCAAAAGATCTGTTGACGCTTATATGACCAAGCATTTCCGGAGACGCTATCTAATGTCTCTTAATGACACACATACGGAGTTCCAGGCTCACGACACTGAAAGCAACAGTTTTGCGTTTGATACGCAACGATTTTTACAGATGGCATATCAAAAACGGAAAAACATCAACTCAATCAGAAAATTAAAGCTTCGTCACCGCCGTAGCTTAGTCGACGAGAAAGCAGTTGATCGAATACGTCAAATCTTTGGAAGGGTCCAAAGTGTTTCACGAAAAAATTGTGCGAAGAAATCTAGCTGGCATTTGCAATTGCCCGGTGATGTTGCTTATGGCGTAGAAAATCAGTTCGAGCCGCAATCCAGGACAGCCCTACGACTTTCCCATTTTTTGTGCAATTACCTCCAAAATGCTAACCCCTTGGAAACGTTCGGGATTCACAGAGGCGGCAGACATTTACATCAGGGGCTTATTTTTGGTGAAGTATTGGCCAACGTGATGGCTGATTTTCGGATCATGTCTTCGGGAGTTTTCTATGACCACAATCTTTTTCTTGATGATAACGGCCACTACAAAGAACTATTCGGACCGTGGGCCTATCGTCAACAAGGTCGTTATTTTGCTATCGACCGAGCAGGAGAACCCGAGCAATATATATATACAGACTGGTTTCAAAAGGCCAAGCAACGTTGGAGGACTAATACGTCGGGTTTGAAGACCTATTGGATGAGGGCCCATATCCGATCTGATATTAACGGGACATCGAGCATTCGTTTTGATTATTATCCAATGAGATACAAAGCGCCAGTCATGAGTGATGGTTTCTGGACACGCCCTTATTTTAGATGCGATGGATATGTCGATAAGTGGGTCATTACCTATGTTGTACCTTTCTTTGGACTAGATAATCTCAAAAAAGCAATCAAATTCTAGTAAGTATTCGTGCGAAAATAGCAAAACATGTCAATATAATACAATAATATACGATTGATGTAAAAGTTTGTATCACTACATTTTGCAGAAAGTTAATTACATCTCAAAAAGAAAGAGACTGTAAGTGATTAGAAATTAATACAAGTATTGATGACAAAACTATAGTCTTATATAGATAATTATATAGATAGTTGGGTCACTATGCCGTGCGAGAAGATTTTTCTCGTCAAAGTCCATCTTGCACATTTACAAATCTACTATTCGTCCATGCATTGAATACTACTGCCATATAGTCTGGTGTTTCTGCCATTCATCTCGAGGTTCTTGACAAAATCCAAAGAAGGATCTACAATGTAATTGATCCTGACTTAGCATCTCGACTTCAGTCACTTTCTCACCAGCGTGACAAGGCTTCCCTCTGTCTTTTCTACAAATATTTTCATGGTAACTGCTTTGGCGAGCTTTTTATCCAGGTGAACCGACTACATGAATTTAAGCGTGCTACTAGACTAGCATTTAGGTCCCACCCGTTTACTATTGAAATAGTTCAATGCAACAGCTAATTCTACTCCAACAGTTTCTTTTCTTGCACCCCCGCCTGTGGAACCCTCTTCCGTTTACTTGCTTCCTTGATAACTACAGTCTTCAAAAATTTAAATCCAAGATCAATCGCCATCTTCTATCTTCTTGACACACGTTCATCTTTTGTTTTTTCTTCAATCTTCATTATACTCAGTCTTTTCTCCCACTTTCACTCCCTTTATTGATAAAACGGAGCTACTATTTTTGTAAGTTGTTAAAATTTATCCCACCTATGGGTTAAATAGCGGAGCAGAATGAACTATCTAGCCGCAGTTGTCTATGATAACTCTGAATTCAAAACCGTATATAGTCCTAGCAAAATACATACTAGAAACGAAACTAAGGTCCGCTCAGCATAGTTACATTATAAACTAGAAGGTGGCTATTTAGCTGTTGAAAAAAAAAACACAAATAAACCTGAGATAACAAGCATGCTCGGAAACAAGTAGCCATCCTAAAGATGAGAAATCACATCGATTTGCAGTTTACCATCAAGACGATGGTGATGTACAAATTTATATGAAGCATTGACATTATTAATTTTTGACTAGTATTTCTTTGATCTGATTCTCTTGCTTGTTACCGCATTACTTAAGTCATCTTGACATTTATTCTATGATCTTGAAGTGGTATGGATGGTCGTAGAAAACGATTGACAGTACTTCCTCGACAATTAGGACAACTTGGAACTTGTGTTGAAAATATATTCGGATAATAAAATACCTAAATTATCGAAAAAGAATGACGAAAAAAACATTTTCTGAAATATATTTAATATTTATCAATTACATCATTAAATAATATTTGCAAACGCTTTGGTCAAGGTTTTGTCCGGTTTATTTTTTATGAAAAAAATACGTCAATTTTTGTCTGTCTCCGATCAACTCCCAAATCTGAGTCATAATAGATGCATTTGCAAAGGAAGCGTCTGGTTAAAAGCGAAACAAACTTAAACATTTGTCGAGCATAACCACTATTCAAGCACCTTAGAGTTGCGTAAGCCATAATCTCTGACATGACCAAACTGTCATAATTCAAATGTGTTCTTTAACGAGGAAATTAACAAGAATTGAACTGATTTTATCAGCGTTTTTATCAAATGTTGAGTACGGTTTTATAAATTCCCAAAACGCTTGTCTGAGATAAAATATTAAAATTGGTTTCATTCAGATAATTTAAAAATGTGCGGACAATTTCGATTTTTCTCTTTATTTTACGTCCTGATAATCGAAGTTCGAAAAATCGACTAAGGATAATCAAGGAAGTACTGTATTTCAGATTCATGTTGCTTGTAGAATACGATGAACGACCTCTGATTTTCGATAATAGACAACGTTATAAAACAAAAGAAATATCTAAACATAAGTGCTTTTTAAAAGGAATACATTTTTTAAGGAATAAATTTCCTTTTCTTTTAACGTTTCACTGTTCATTTTCTCTATGTGTAGTGAGTCTTGATTTAATTTTTGAACTGTTGGCAAAAGTGATTTTCTGCCTAAGTGGTACTAAAATCATTAGGTTTGGTCTTGGTGGTGATGACAGATGTGTTGATGATAGATGCACCCAATCCCCACATCACTGCTGAGAATGTCAAATCTATTTACATTTTTGTGTATCCTGTGTGCGTGCGTTAGCCTGCACATAGATCAGCACACACAAGGGTATATATATATATATATATATATATATATATATATATATATATATTTTGTATATTTAGGCAGCAATCCTTCCTTTATGCATGTTTCATTAAAACGACAGACAAGGTACTACGGTTGAGCTTTTTTATTTAATTTTTCTTGTGTTCTGACAAGAGCTTTCTTTTCTGGACAAAGAGTGTGTAAGAACTGTCCGAATGTTCTGTGTTTCCGAGCGCTTTCGGCTATACCTTTAGCCATTATCAAGGATGATTCAATTATCAGCTTAGTAGAGTGTGTGTGTTCTGTGTATGTTCAGTGTGTGGTAGTGATGTTTTTAGTTTCCGAATACGGTGAGCACATTGTGGCTTTGTTCATAGTTAATATTGTTAAGGGTTGGCTTTTTCTTTTTTATTATTAGAGCTTCCATTATTTTTAGTCTTTTTTTGCAAGTGGATGCAGTTAATATATTTGTGTTTTCTACTAGTATGTTTTTTTAATGAAACATGCATATATATATATATATATATATATATATATATATATATTGTGAGGAGGCACGGTGAAGTAATAGATAGCGGCTCGGACTGAGGAATCAGAGAGTCGAGTTCGAAGTCCAGTCAAATCTGTTACATTCACTTACGTGCTAATACCTTTGGAAAAGGTACGAATCCTCTACTCCGCCAAGTTATGAGTAAATAGCAGGTCAGACTGGGTTCTATAGCCTTGGATGGTTACTGGTCTAGTAGAAGGACAACTCTAAATTCAAAACCTGAGGGGGGTTGTTTGGGGACCTTTATGGCACAGGGTGCGCCAGTTCTCTGTGTCCGGCTCTTCAAAAAAGTGTGGTTCTGCACAAAACCTTCACCACTATAATCAAATCATATGTGCTGGTGTCTGGTTGGTTCCTAAGAATTGAGCCCTTGACCCCTCACACGTCGAATATGACAGGAGAATCCACCATACATATATATATATATATATATATATATATATATATATATATATATATATATATATATATGATTAATGTATATTTGGACAGTTGCCATTTGTTTTAAACATCTTTCATTAAATGTGACGGAAAAGGAAAACTTTATTAATTTTTTATTATTTTTATTTAGTTTTTCCAGCGTTCTTACATTTTTCCATTTGGTGGGAATGAGGGAGTACAAAAATTGTCCATTGTCCCAACCGCTATTCAAGAATTCTATTTGGTCGTCGGTGAGTTCGTGATCGTACAAGTTTAGTAATTTACTTTTACCACGAGGTAGTGCAATCTTTCGATTGTATAAGTTGCAGAGTATTTTTATTGATGTGTTGTTGGTTTAGTTCTAACGTACTATTGAGGTGGCTGAGATGGTATTCAGTAGTTGTGTATATGTATTTATATAATATACATACATATATATCTATATATAAATATTTGCATACGCATTATCTCTGATATTGAGCACTTTATCCCAGTAATATAGCACACCTTAAAACTATATTTCTTCATATATAGATAGATAGATAAATAGATAGATAGATATACAGTCATTAGCAAAAGTTTAAGACCACGTTGGAATTTTAATACCTTAAAGTTAAAAGCAATACAGTAACAAGTAATTTATGAGATACTGACTCAGTTTTAATCACACACTTGTACATGACATTGTTCACTATTCATTTCAAGCGAAATAGTTAAGCGGTCAATACTTTGTATGATCTTCTTTAATTTGCTTTACTACTTGGATACGGTGAGGCATTTTGGAGATCAAGTTTTTACAATAGTCAACCGAGATTTCTTTTATCCAAATTTATTTAACAGCCTCACTCCATGCTTAGCTACTTGGAAGTAGTTTTTTTGCACGTTTGTTTTTAATAATTTCCCATTTGCGCTCAGGTCTGGGTTGTTCCCTGACAAGTCTTGTGCTGTCACATTAATCCTGTTCAAAAAGTTCCTTGAACGACTTTTGATCGATGGCATTGAGCATCATCATGCATAAAAAATGTGCACTGATTAATGTGCATATGCAGTTCCATTTTTCTCCTGCATTAGTTCATCGTTGTTCCTCGAGGCAAGTAGAGTTCAGATGTTCTAGATTTGGACACGGCAACCCAAATCATCTGGCATGGTGGGTACTTCACAGTTTGAATTTTATACTTCTCATAAAATCTCTTGCCAGGTGGGGGTCTTCTAATGTTTCTTTTATGCATGACGAAGTGTTGTAGAGTAGATTCATCTGAAAACGTAACTTTGCTCTAGCCTTCAGTTGTCCAGGTTTGCTTAGCAAATGCCAGATGCCACATAGATTTCATAGTTGCAAATAACTGTAGTTTACGAGCCGGTTTGAATGAATTCAGACCAAACTCAAATCTCAGACGACATGAAACTGTTATAGAACTGACATTTGTATCATTTTGACGCACGTATATTCTCACAAGAACTTGTTGGGGATCGTGTAGCAAAGAGCTTCTTCAAATGGTCATCACTACTACTGGTTTTCATTGAACGTCCACTTCTCCCCTTGTCGCTAAATATCTCTGAATTTTGGAAATTCACGATAGCAGTAAGCAAAGCAGTTTTGATGCAATCTACTTTTATACCAATTTCACGTTCAGAATCTCCTTCGTTGAGTAGAATCACAATTTGGACCCTTCGTGCAGATAAAAGTGTGGATTTTCTGACCATATTCTAAGCCTAATTCACTGCACAACTACTATCCCAGTAGCTGTTAATTTGGAAATAACATGTGTGAATAATGGTTGATGCCCCTTCTTCCCTACTTGACGTC